CAGTAAATTAATCGGCAAATTTTAGCTATGAAACAAGCTTGCGCGGTGTTGTCTGAGTCTAACCCATTACGGGTCACGCAAAGCTTGCATGATGATTGCCCACACCCGTGGGGCTATGGTTTTGCCAAGTTTTGGCAAAACCATGCTTGCTATCGGTTCCGTGATAAAAGTTCCCTCCTCATTTTCGGAATGCGTTGCACGCAATACAGCAAGCCCTCGTAATGCTTTCCGCGCGATACAGTGAGAATCGCAGCCTTGTGCGCAATGCAGCGGGCGCCAAACATACAAGCGCGCGATCTCAAGCCATGAATAACCATGAATATTGGCTATATTGTAATGGATATCTTAACACACAGAGATCTTTTTTATTATATGGGGCTGTGCAATAAGTTGATTACTAGACTAGCAAACTGCCGTTGAATCTTGGTAAAATACACTATGTTAGCTCATGAATAAAAGCTAAGAAGCCTTTGCGTTTTACCTCAGTGAAAAATGATATAGCTAATCCAGACGTCCGATCAAAAGAGACATCAGTATTTGAATCCCCCGCTATTTCAGCGACTCCCTACAGCGGGTTGGGGATGACATTTTCCGAGAGGATCATCAATCTCTTGTTTCACTGGAATATCATCATTGCACGATATATGCAACAGTCCTGGAATCACAACACTTTCACGAGAAAAAATTTTCCCAAGGTTACTAGGCCTATATTGAGTGCAACAAAAAGATATACCTTCATTTAGGTCGATTTATTTGCAGCTGAAGCAAAAAGGATAATTTATGCTGGAAGATCTGAATTCTTATTTGATGTAGTTCGACCGATCAACAATCGTGTGAAGCACTTTGCAAGCAATATCTTATTGTTAGTTTTGAAACAAATTTATCCTGCATTCCAAAACAATATGTAATTACTTCAGGAAACCTGGCGATTTTGTCACTGTGATACCAGAGATTTTGAAGAGTCAACCAAACATTTCGATGTGTGACGAAGCGAAGCATGACCATAACGCTATAAGATATAATTACTCGTCTTCACAATCTGAAGGGCATATCTACTGTTGCCACAGCCGCACACGACATACATCAAATACTATACGACGTCCAGAACTCTACAATGGACTCAACAGAACCTCAGTAAACCAACGATTTGAGGGCATAGCTGCAAACTATCCTAATCTCCAGTGGCATTCTCTCGTCGAAGAGAAGTTCATTCTAGTAAGCTTTGGCTCTTTAGCGCAGGTACGTAAGATTAGCCATTCACCTTTTCTTTTGCTCACGTATTCTTTTAGGCTCAGTACATGTCAAATGAGATCGCTCGCAAACTCATATATGCTTTCGCGCAATCTCCCTTCAAAGTCATTTGGGCAACAAACTCTTACCCTGAACAGCTAACATGGACCAAGAACATGACAATACCTGAAAACATAGTGCTGATTCGTTGGGTACCTGTGAAAGAGATGTTAGGTAATTAACATAGGTTGAATGTTTCGGTCCCCATTATATCTTTACAGCTCACCCCAACCTACAGTATCTTATAAGCCATGGAGGAATCAACACCATAAACGAACTGCTTTTATTTGGAGTTCCCATGATTGGAGTTTATCTACAAGTGAGTAGAATCAAAGTTACATGCATGATATAATCATGAGATTTACTGCTGACATTTCTTCGACAGGGAGACCAAGGCTCCAATGTCAGACGTCTTGCCGATCTTGGCGTCTGTAAAATGATTTCTATGCTTAGGATATGGCAAGATGAGCTACCAATTGTCATGAGAGAGTTCGAGCACGATTTGGATAGGTAGGGTTGTTTGTTATCTAGCAGAAAATATTCTTCAACTTTCATACAAAAATTCTGACATTTAGTTACTGGGACAGAGCACGCCAACTTTCCTCAATGACTGAGACTTATCATAAATTACATGCTAGTGAACAAAACTTCTGGATTACATGGACAATACGTCATGGACAAGAACTCTACAACAGAACTTTGTTCAGAATGGAGTACATTGGTGACACTGAAAACTTGTTTTGGTTCAGCATTGCTGTAATTTTGAGTACACTTTTTTCCCTAATTCTCATGTAAAGTGCAAT